CACAGGGTCTCTCTTTCTCTCTCTGTAGCGTATGCGCCCAGATGTGTTCTCAGGTACCGAAATTTGGCACCGATTGATTTAACGTGAATCTGTACTCGGTAGTACTGATGCAATTCGGTCGGTACCCTTAAAAGTACTGAGTTCGGTACTCAACCCTAGTTGCAAGACAATTAATTTTCTTGTTCTCTTAGTCTCTGTTTATTTGTTCGTTAAGAGATGCTTGTGTAAATGAAAGCATGTGAAATTTTACTTCAGTCAAAGTTGGAAAGGAAGGAACTATTCATCTAAAAAAACAAACCATTGATCTACTTTAGGCAAGTTTTTTCTTTATGTAAAAGCCCACTCAAAACTTGAGTATTTCAAGTCTGAATCAAGTCTAAATTTAGTCTCAGATTACTTGAGACTATTTTTGATCTTTCAGAATCAGAATCAGAAAGAGCTTTATTGCCAAGTATGCTTGCGCATACAAGGAATTTGTTTTCGTGTCACAAGCTTCCAGTACACAGAGACAACAACACACAGGCAATAAAAATAAGATAAGCATGTGAAATTTTACTTCAGTCAAAGTTGGAAAGGAAGGAACTATTCATCTAAAAAAACAAACCATTGATCTACTTTAGGCAAGTTTTTTCTTTATGTAAAAGCCCACTCAAAACTTGAGTATTTCAAGTCTGAATCAAGTCTAAATTTAGTCTCAGATTACTTGAGACTATTTTTGATCTTTCAGAATCAGAATCAGAAAGAGCTTTATTGCCAAGTATGCTTGCGCATACAAGGAATTTGTTTTCGTGTCACAAGCTTCCAGTACACAGAGACAACACACAGACAATAAAAATAAGATGAGAATAAAAATACACACATATGTAAATATAAATAGAAAAAAATAAATTGAAATCTTTTATGACAGATTTAAAAAGCACAAAATACTGTTAATGTTCTGGTTTTAATTTCGATTTCATAGCCTTCAGCTCGTCTGTAGGTCTGTAAAAGATGCAGTTTATGCAGTGTACAGAGAGACTCTGCAGCTTCGTGAGGTCACTTCCTTATGGTTCATGGTAGAGGGAAGTGCAGACTTCCTCTGATGGCACTGAGGAAGG